GATTTCTTCACACTGCTCCCCTATAAGTCCATAGGTCGGCATACCCGCCTAGACGCTGTCGGGTTGGCTTGGGGATTTCCGAGGAAGAGTCTTTAAGCGTCCAGGTCGGTCTGGCGGGACAGACCGTCTGCATTACCGTTTTGTTTGCCTGGACGGTACTGCATTGTGAAATTGTAGGGCTGAAGAGCTAGGCTCCACCGCAATAGCCTGGGATTGTCACCAGCCACTCTGTTTAGCCACACAAGAGGGTTATAGTCAGTCATGAGAGTAAATGGCCGGCCATACAAATAAGGTTGTAGTTTCTTGAGTCCCCATACTAGGGCTAAGCACTCTTTCTCCACGGTGGCATAGCTAACCTCTCTGGGCAAAAGTTTATTGACTGAGGTAGGCCACCGGGTGATCCATTCCGTTGTCTCCCACCTGGCTTAACACGGCTCCCAGCCCAAATATGGAGGCATCTGGGTTTCCTCAGAGTGCAGCGGTGCTTCCATTCTGGCTTGAGCTCGGGTGGTGACCGGGTAGGCTTCGGACGGAGTGTCTCATGCTAATTTGGATGTTAAACAGCCCACATCGTTCCCCAACAATACTTCGGCTGGCAGTTCCTGCATAATGCCAACCTCCAATTGTTTCGACCCCGATTCCCAATCCAAAAGGACTTTTGCTGTAGGCAATTTGTGGATGGCACCTCCGGCTACTCTTACAGCCACAGTGCGACTGGTGCGGGTCTGGGAGTGGACTGTGTGTGGTTGTTCCACGGTTAGAGTGGCCCCAGAGTCTCTCAAAGCTCGGGCCCCCACACCATCTACTGTAATCCACTGATGGTGGTGGTCCCGGTTGTCGCCTCCAGCTTGCACAGGGTTGACCTCGTGTAACACACTCCACTCTTTTTCGTGGTTAGGAACGTAAGGTGCACTCTCCTGCTGTACACAATGAGCAGTGGCCCTGGGTTGGTGTTGTGGGGGTTGCCTTTCCCAGCTTCCCCGGTTCAAACGAGGGCACTGGTTTTTATAGTGTCCCGGTTGTTTGCAATAATGGCACACTGCAGGTGGTCGTGGTATTGCTGCTGAGCTGTGTGGCGGGTTACTTAGGGGAGTTCTAGGTGGTGCAGATGTTGCTGGTGCTGGATAGGGGTGCTTAAAAACAGGTCGTCTCACCCCTTGTTCTCTCCTCCTGTTATCCTGGTGCTCATCTGCCAATCTGGCTGCCTCCTCCACAGTTTTAGGCTTCCTGTCTTTTACCCAGTCTTTAATGTCGTCTTCTGTGTAGTTAAAGAATAGCTCCAATAGTATGAGCTGCAAGGCATCCTCAAGGGTAGTTGCTTGGCAGCCCTGCATCCAATTCCGGGCTGCCCTGTGTAGCCGGAACGCCCATTCAGTATGGGAATCCCTTCCTGTTTTTCTCAATTCTCTGAATTTCTTTCTGTATGCCTCTGGGGTTACAGCATATCTGGCCAACAAAATGTCTTTTACTTTCTCATAGTTATGTATGTCCCCATCAGGTACTGCTCGCAACGCCTCTGCTGCTCTGCCTGACAGCTTGCTGCTAAGTACTTCGGCCAATTTTGTGGAGTCTAATCCCTCCAGTGCACATTGCTTTTCCTGTAGATAACTATCAATCTCCATTTCCTTGTCATTAAAAGCTTTAAATGCAGCATAATTTACCTTCTTTGGTAGGTCACTTGTACTTCCCGGGGAGTGTAGCAATCGGTCTGTCTCGATCATCTCACTCTTTCTGTGATTGCCTGGCTTGTGCCATGACCTGCAGAACCGCCTCTGTTGCTGGATTGGGTCCCAATAAACTGAGCATCCATCTGATGTCCTTCTGCATCTCGGTTTCTTCCTTATGCTCCATTTCTGTATTTCTGGTTCTGTTGCTCTGTAATAGTTCTGTAATTAATGTGGCTTTTGTCTTATTACTTGCCACTATGCCTCGAGCTTCCAGTAAATCCTTTAGCGTGGTTCTCTTAAGTCGCTGGTACTGCTGAGCCATTCATTCCTTTGCTTGTTCAGAACGTCCGTTCGGGATTCGAATCCCGCTGCTTGCCACCAGTTGTAAGGAAACCAAGAATATTTAAACCTCATTCGGTAGTTTCCTCCCGAATCGCCAGAGCCTTAGTGATTATAGCCCTCCGTTCGGTAGATAGGGTAGACGAATCCTATAGCAATTCCAATAGCTTCACAAGATGATTCCCCTAGTGAAACACACGAATCCCCAAACATCAGCCGAAGTCAAGAAGAAGGGTACAAAATGAACTGTCCTTTAATGGGTGCACACAGCTTTTATGCAAGTCCCCATGCAAGGGGACAGCCCTCAGGGAGGGACAAACATTAACCAATCACATACAGGGAGTGCAGAATTATTAGGCAAGTTGTATTTTTGAGGATTAATTTTATTATTGAACAACAACCATGTTCTCAATGAACCCAAAAAAGTAGTTTTTAGTTTGTTTTTAGTTTTAGCTATGTTAGGGGGATATCTGTGTGTGCAGGTGACTATTACTGTGCATAATTATTAGGCAACTTAACAAAAAACAAATATATACCCATTTCAATTATTTATTATTACCAGTGAAACCAATATAACATCTCAACATTCACAAATATACATTTCTGACATTCAAAAACAAAACAAAAACAAATCAGTGACCAATATAGCCACCTTTCTTTGCAAGGACACTCAAAAGCCTGCCATCCATGGATTCTGTCAGTGTTTTGATCTGTTCACCATCAACATTGCGTGCAGCAGCAACCACAGCCTCCCAGACACTGTTCAGAGAGGTGTACTGTTTTCCCTCCTTGTAAATCTCACATTTGATGATGGACCACAGGTTCTCAATGGGGTTCAGATCAGGTGAACAAGGAGGCCATGTCATTAGATTTTCTTCTTTTATACCCTTTCTTGCCAGCCACGCTGTGGAGTACTTGGACGCGTGTGATGGAGCATTGTCCTGCATGAAAATCATGTTTTTCTTGAAGGATGCAGACTTCTTCCTGTACCACTGCTTGAAGAAGGTGTCTTCCAGGAACTGGCAGTAGGACTGGGAGTTGAGCTTGACTCCATCCTCAACCCGAAAAGGCCCCACAAGCTCATCTTTGATGATACCAGCCCAAACCAGTACTCCACCTCCACCTTGCTGGCGTCTGAGTCGGACTGGAGCTCTCTGCCCTTTACCAATCCAGCCACGGGCCCATCCATCTGGCCCATCAAGACTCACTCTTATTTCATCAGTCCATAAAACCTTAGAAAAATCAGTCTTGAGATATTTCTTGGCCCAGTCTTGACGTTTCAGCTTGTGTGTCTTGTTCAGTGGTGGTCGTCTTTCAGCCTTTCTTACCTTGGCCATGTCTCTGAGTATTGCACACCTTGTGCTTTTGGGCACTCCAGTGATGTTGCAGCTCTGAAATATGGCCAAACTGGTGGCAAGTGGCATCGTGGCAGCTGCACGCTTGACTTTTCTCAGTTCATGGGCAGTTATTTTGCGCCTTGGTTTTTCCACACGCTTCTTGCGACCCTGTTGACTATTTTGAATGAAACGCTTGATTGTTCGATGATCACGCTTCAGAAGCTTTGCAATTTTAAGAGTGCTGCATCCCTCTGCAAGATATCTCACTATTTTTGACTTTTCTGAGCCTGTCAAGTCCTTCTTTTGACCCATTTTGCCAAAGGAAAGGAAGTTGCCTAATAATTATGCACACCTGATATAGGGTGTTGATGTCATTAGACCACACCCATTCTCATTACAGAGATGCACATCACCTAATATGCTTAATTGGTAGTAGGCTTTCGAGCCTATACAGCTTGGAGTAAGACAACATGCATAAAGAGGATGATGTGGTCAAAATACTCATTTGCCTAATAATTCTGCACTCCCTGTACAGTAAAACTTTAACACACACCTACAATTCCCTCCCCTAGCCCAGGAGATAATTCAGTCTGATAAAATAGTAACTTAATTATCTCCGGGCTGAAAAATCACCTTTTTCCCCAATATCTAGAACACCCCTTTCTACTCGAGGTATCCCCATAATTATATGTCCCCTGATCTGGGTGACCACCATATCTGAATTTCACCCAGATCGGTTCAGGGGTTCGCAAAAACTATGGAAGTCTCTTGTGACTGGCTCCCCCTGGGCTGTATGCCCAAAACAGTTCCATGAATTTGGTGGGTTTTGCCGGTCACTTTCGAAAAAGCCTCAAAACGAACAAAGTACCGAATGGACCCCTCTGGCTTCTAGCAGCGTTCGTGCCCCTCTGTCGAATACACCAAAGTACCGAATAGCGCTCTGCTAGCTATTAGGTAAGTAGAGTTCCAGCGTTCGTCTGTTTGGACCGGTGTTCGGGAAGTCGCGTGTCTGTTTTCAGTTCCATGCACTCGACGACCAGGTCCCGCTGTCTTTGTTCGCATTAACAAAGATGGCCGCGGTTTTCTCTGCCACGTGGCGTTCGACTGACGAACGCTGGCCGCACATACATAGGTAGCAATTTCACCCAAACTTTGAGGGGTGGTCTTTGTTCGGTAGTTATATCTACCGAATGCAATGGGCAGACATAGAGTAAAGAAAGGGAATGCAATGGGTATATAACATAGGGAACAGGGGATTTCTTCACAGTGTCCCTTTAAGTATTCCCTCTGGGGGGGAATTCCAGCTTCCATTTTTGCACTCTATTTCTTTCCTTTAAATGTATCTCAATGGCGGTAATATTAATAAAAATTGACATTAGTAGAAATGTTTTGAATTCATTTTTCTCAGTAAATTCCATCTAATCTATCATGGTCGCTGACATAATGAGCCCACGGTGACTCCTGTCTAACTTGCCAACAGCAGATAGACAGGGTAACCACAGTTAATATGAATGCATTAGATTTATTTAGAATGCATTAGATTTATTTTGCTCACAGTAAAATATAAAATCTATCTTCTCAACTGCAGTGGTCAATTAAAGAGTTATCACTTATTAATGTGGACCCTCCACCGTGGATAATCTGAGCTGCCGTAACAATGAATAATGATAGAAATGGAATGGCTGAGAGGATCCTGAATCTCACCCTGGAGATCATCTGTCTGCTGACTAGAGAGGTAAGGGGTTCTGAGAAAGCTTTTATCTCAGACACTATAACATTGTTATTCAAAACATTAACCCTTTTCAGCTCAACAACTTGCGTACACGTTTCCACTTCGGTTGTGCTTTGCTAAGAAATTTAGACAATAAAACCTTAATTAGCTCCCCCTTTCTAGAGCACTGCTATTCAGCTTGGATCATTTCTTAACCTAGAGCTCCATTATGTTCTTTACTGTCTCCACAGAAGAACTTTAAATACCTCCTCCACACTTTGGGTTTCTATATGAGCCATTGCAGGATAAACTTAAAGGGACACTATAGTCACCAAAACAACTTTAGCTTAATGAAGCAGTTTTGGTGTATAGAACATGGCCCTGCAGTCTCACTGCTCAATTCTCTGCCATTTAGGAGTTAAATCACTTTGTTTATACAGCTCTAGTCACACCCACTTGCATGTGACTTGCACAGCCTTCCAAAACACTTCCTGTAAAGAGTCATCTACAGTGTATCCTTCCTTTATTGCAAGTTCTTTTTTAATTTAGATTTTCTTATCCCCTGCTCTGTTAATAGCATGCTAGACCCTGCAAGAGCCTCCTGTATGTGATTAAAGTTCAATTTACAGAGAAATACAATTACAGAGAGATACAATTGTATCTAAGGTAAATTACATCTGATTGAAAATGAAACCAGCATTTTTTTTTGCATGCAGGCTATGTCAGTCAGAGCCAGGGGAAGTGTGACATGGGCTGCATAAACAGAAACAAAGTGATTTAACTCCTAAATGGCAGTGAATTGAGAAGTAAAACCTGAGAGGCATGATCTATACACTAAAACTGCTTCATTAAACTAAAGTTGTTTATGTGACTATAGTGTTCCGTTAATGGCTTTCTTAGCACTCCAAGACAGGAGAAGGAAGAGAATCAGGCATTATGCCTCATTATGAAAATAAACTAGATAAAACGAGTAGAGGATAAGGAGTGGAGTACTGAATGGGTTAAATAAGGTAAAACACAGCTAAAACATGCAAGGTATATTGCAGGCAACTTATATCTGGAGATAAATGAAGTGAAGGCAGCTAAAATACACTACATATATAGAAATCAAAATAGGAAGTTTGCAATAAAATAGACATGCAGTATAAATATTGCTTGGTAATTGGATATAGTCCAAAAGTGTGAGAAATTGATACAAATGAGTCTTTGTAGCAAGGAAAATGTCACTATGTAATCTGTTTACCTGTATAGGAGGACCATAGCTAAATATACAGCTGTGATATCTCTGACAGGCTCAGATAGTATAGTACTGTCAAATTCAAATGTACAAAATTTAAAAAATCACTATTAGTTCTCAGTGATAGATATAAAGTGGCAGGATCTTCACTGCGATATGAGTGAAATGGTATCGGGTGGAAATCGGATAAGCAGGAACCACTGGGATGCAGTTTTGAAGTGGATCAATGATTGTCCTCCCTCCGGCCAGCTCGGAGGTGATGTTGTGAGGAGTTATTAGATCAGAAATGTTCGTGTGCGTTCCACTTTGTCCCGTACCTGCGTTCCACTGAGACCCGATACCAGGATGATGTGCAACAGATGCCATTAGTTAGTCTCAATGTGTTAGTCAGTATAACAAAGAGTCTTTACTTAAAATATGCTTTAATTTCACCTGGTTTTTCTCACTCTGTCTGTTAAACAGGATTATGTGATTGTGAATAAGATTGCTGAGCATGTAATGCAGAGAAGCACTGCTCGTGTCTCAGAAGGATCAGGTAGGACCCAGGCCACCATCACGGTGCCACCACCTCACTCAACAATACATGAGCGGAACAATGAGAAGAAGATCCTGGAACTGACCAATCAGATCATCCAACTGCTGACTGGAGAGGTGAGGCTGCTGGGAATGGGATATTATATAGTAAAACCAAGGGATGTGTCTGGATGGTGACTGTATCATTGGGTGTGTCAGGTTCCTATAAGGTGTGAGGACGTCACTGTCCATCTCTCCATGGAGGAGTGGGAGTATTTAGAAGGACACAAGGATCTCTACAAAGATGTGATGACGGAGAATCACCAGACACACATCTCAATGGGTAAGAAGATGTTCAGATACTCATGTGTGTTTATGTAAGATAATTATATATCTGCACTATGTTCAAACTCCTTGTTGAACCAATAAAGATATAAAATCAACAATTACAATACAATATTACTAATTATTGATGCTATATTAGTAAATTTAGGAAATTGAATTAACTGGTGTATTAAAGGGATACTCTAAAAATAAAAACAACTAGCTTTATGAACTTGTTTTGTGTTGTATAAATCATGCCCCTGCAAACTCATTGCTCAATTATACTGTTAAGAGTCAAATCATTTTGTTAATGCAGCCCTAGCCACATATTTTTTTATACACTTCCTAAAAATATATCATTTTTTATTTTGCCTCATTTATTGCACAGAATGTTTAATTTACAATTTCTTATCTTCTGCTCTGTTTATTACCTACAGGAGCCTACTGTGAGTGATTCAAGTTTAATTATCAGAGTAGGAGATACAATCTTCTAATGTGAACACACCATTCTGTAGGTTATGATTATATGATTAAAAATGAAAAGATAAATGTGATTTAGGTGGTGAGAGTCAGGGCCTGGGTTTGTGTGTAACTATGGCTGCATAAACAGCAATTAAATAAAAGAAAATCATTTAATGGCAGATAATTGAGCAGTGAGACTGCAGAGGCATGTTCTATACACCAACACTGTTTCATTAAGCTAAAGCTGTTTTGTTGCTTTACGTACATTTAACTAAAGTGTGAGTTGCCTGGAATTTGAAAGAAAATTATTTTTTTCCCAGAGAAGTCAAACTGAAATCTTTACACTCCCCTCAACCCCTAACTTGAAAAAAATTTGGGAATTGGATACTTAACAAAATTAATCTCAGAGGATTCACCACTCCTGACAAAATAACATTTTATTCTGTGTACAACAAACTGAAAATTTGGTTACATGATGCTGAAGCCCATAGGAAAGCACTGATTCAAAGCTTTGCAGTGGGTAGTTTGGATTCACACAACGTTCACTGCACGTGAGCTTTAGGTCCCATTGGACTATCGTAGAGAAGGCCATGCCTTCTTCTTACATAGTGGGAGATGAAGAGGTAAGCAGCTACCAGAGAGTCTTGGAGCTTAAAAAAGGTAAGTAAAACTTTAATTATGTATGTGTGTGTGTATATATATATATATATATATATATTTATTTAGTTTTTGCACTAGAGGGGGCAACCTGAAAAAAAGAGTAGGGACGGGGACACTATAACATTAGGAATGCAGATTTGTAATTAATAAAGATATGTGGTTCAAAAATGCATTACCTTTTTTTTTTTAAATTGTTAAATGAAAACTTAAATACAACTTTGTGCTTTATGTAGATGGGTCCATAGTCAATGGTACGGCTAAAGAATTTCCCACGCCTATTTATTCAGTTGATTTTCTAAAGGAAGCAGAAAGGCAGTGGGCAGTGGGAAGCAGAAAAGCAGTGGGAGATTAGAGAGGTCAATGCGTGGCTAAAGTCTTAGTGCAGGAAAGAGGGTTTTGGGTTTTTAGAACACTGGGCCGACTTTGCGATTGGGTACAACCTTTATAGTGGTGATGGATTGCACCTAAATGGAAGAGGGTCTGCTGTGCTGGGGGATAGGATGGCTAGAAGGTTGGAGGAGATTTTAAACTAGTGGTGGGGGAGGGGGAGGGTCATAGCAATCTAGAAAATGAAGATAGGATGGAAAGGAGATGGGCTTTAGCTCAGAAAAAAGGGGGTGGAGATGGGGGGAGGGGAAAGCTCAGAACAGAGGAGGTATGTAATATTGATAATTCACAAAAAGTACAAAAGACTCATGATAATATTAAATGTATCCTTACTAATGCAAGGAGCCTATATAACAAAATGGGGGAACTAGAGGCAATAGCATACACTAAACAATATGATCTATTAGGCATAACAGAAACATGGTGGGATGAGACACATGACTGGGCAGTTAATTTAAATGGGTACACGTTATTTAGGAAGGATAGGAGAAACTAGAAGGGTGGTGGGGTATGTTTATATATCAACCATGAGTTAAAGTCAAATCTTAGGCATGTGGAGTGTGACGAGGAAAATGTGGAGACTTTATGGGTAGATATCTGCTTGGGGAAAACAAAGGGAAATCAATTATTGGTTGGGATATGTTATAAACCACCTAATATAAATATTATTGAGGAAGAACAGCTGTTAGAGCAAATCGAGGTAACACATTAATTATTGGAGATTTTAATTACCCAGACATAAATTGGGATAGAGGAACTAGTACTTCAGCAAGGGGAATCAGGTTTTTGAATGTGTTAAATGACACCTTTATGTCACAATTGATACAAGCACCAACTAGAAAGGATGCTTGTCTGGATCTCGTCATAACAAACAATGTTGATCTTTTTAACCAACATTCAAGTAGGGGAGCATTTGTGAAATAGTGATCACAATATGGTAACTTTTGAAATAAACTCAAAAAAGCAAAAGCAAGTGGGGTATACTAAAACATATAATTTAAAAAAAGCAAATTTCAATAAGATTAGGGCAGCTCTACAACATATCGACTGGCATAAACTCCTTAGTGATAAAAACACTGAGGATAAATGGAAACTATTCAAACAAATATTAGAAAGGTACATTTCTCAGTATGTACCATTGGGTAATAAATATAAAATAAACAAATTAAAACCAATGTGGCTTAGTAGAGAAGTAAAACAAGAGATTAAAAATAAGAAAAGGGCATTTAAATCAGACAAATCAGAGGCATCCTATTTAAGATATAAGGAAGCCAATAACGCTTGCAAAAAGGCAATTAAAATGGCTAAACTAGAAAATGAGACATTGATAGCTAAAGAATGCAAAACCAACCCCAAAATTTTTTTCAAGTACATCAATTCTAAAAAAACAAAAAATGAAAGTGTAAGCACACTGGAAACAGAGTTGGGTTTATTAGCTAATGAAGACCAGGAAAAAGCAGAAATTTTAAATAACTACTTTTTCTTCAGTATATATTAATGAGGATCCTATGGCAAGAGATATGCAAATGATTGCTGCAAAAAAACTTGCAAATAGCTTGTGATTGGATAACTCGAGACAAGGTGCTACAGCTATTAAAGAAAATTAATGTAAATAAAGCTCTGGGGCCTGATGGTATTCACCCACGAGTACTTAAGGAGCTAAGTGGGGAAATAAGTGAACCTCTGTATTTAATTTTTCAAGATTCTTTTGTTTCAGGTGTTGTACCGGAGGATTGGAGGAAGGCAGATGTTGTTCCTATATTTAAAAAGGGTTCAAAATCCTTGCCTGGAAATTATAATAATAATGATAATATTCAGGAATTCATTGGGAATAACTTTATTAGCAATAACCAGCATGGTTTTATGAAACATAGGTCATGTCAAACTAACCTAATTGCATTCTACGAAGAAGTAAGTAGAAGTATAGATCTGGGTGTTGCAGTGGATGTGATCTACTTGGATTTTGCCAAGGCATTTGATACGGTTCATCACAGTAGGTTAGTCTTCAAACTAAAAGAAATTGGTCTACATGAATATTCTTGTTCTTGGGTAGAACATTGGCTTAAGGATAGAGTACAACGAGTTGTAATTAATGGTAAATGTTCAGGCTGGACAAAAGTGGTAAGTGGTGCCCCTCAGGGTTCTGTTTTGGGACCACTTCTATTTAACATATTTATAAATGATCTTGAAATAGGCATTGAAAGACATGTATCAGTGTTTTCAGATAACACAAAACGTTGTAAAGTAATAAAATTTGAGCAGGATATTGCTTTGCTGCAGAGGGATTTGGATAGATTGGGGGACTGGGCATTAAAATGGCAGATGAAATTAAACATAGAGTAATGCAAAGTTATGCACTTCGGGGTTAAGAATGCACAAGCAACTTACACACTAAATGGTAGTGAATTAGGGATAACCACACACAAGAAGGATTTGGTAATTGTTATAGATAACAAATTAGGCAGCAATATGCAATGTCAATCTGCAGTTGCTAAGGCCAGTAAGGTTTTGTCATGTATAAATAGGGGCATAAATTCTTGGTATGAAAATATAATTTTGCCTCTTTATAAATCGCTGGTAAGACCACACCTTGAATATGCTGTGCAATTTTGGGTGCCTGTTCTAAAGAAAGATATCATGGCACTAGAAAAAGTCCAGAGACGAGCTACAAAATTGAAAAAAGGAATGGAGCATTTTAGTTATGAAGAAAGGTTAAAAAAAATTAATCTGTTTAGTTTGGAAAAACGGCGCCTGAGAGGGGATATGATAACTTTATACAAATATATTCGGGGCCAGTACAAAACTTTATCTGGAAATCTATTCATAAACAGGGCTATACATAGGACACGAGGTCACACATTTAGGCTGGGAGAAAGGAGATTTCATCTAAGGCAAAGAAAAGGTTTTTTTACAGTAAGAGCAATAAGGATATGGAATTCTCTGCCTGAAGAGGTGGTTTTGTCAGTCACTACAGAGGTTTAAACTGAAATAGGATAAATACTTGCAAAAACATAACATACAGGGATATCATTTCTAATTAGTGGGGTAATAGCTGCTTGATCCAAGGAGACATCTGACTGCTATTTTGGGGTCAAGAAGGAATTTTTTCCTAGTTTGTGGCAAAATTGGAAGCGCTTCAGACTAGGTTTTTTGCCTTCTTTTGGATCAACAGCAACAACATATGTGAGGAAGGCTGAACTTGATGGACACAAGTCTCTTTTCAGCTATGGAACTATGTAACTTTGTGCTTTATGTAGATGGGTCCATATTCAATGGTACGTCTAAAGAATTTCCCACGCCTATTTCTTCAGTTGATTTTCTAAAGGAAGATATACGATCTATTAAAAATGATCTGGGAGAAAAATGTTTGAAAGTGTGTAACCCGACGATGGTGCTTAGCAGATCTCTGAGAAAAGTAGGCACAGATTTGGCTTCACGCAAAAAAGAAAGTTTCCAAGACACTGACATCTATACAGAGACCGATTATATATCTATTCCTAAAAAAGAGGAATCTGCTTTATGTGACAATGGAAATCTCACGGACACTGACAGATATACAGAGACAGAATATCCTGCTGTTCATATCAAGGAGAAGCCAGCCATGTGTGAAGAAGGGAATCTTAATGACATTTACACACAAACAAAATACACATCAACTCATGTTCTGGAGAATCCAGACTTATGGAAAGAAGGGAAATGCACAGACACAGAGATGTATATTCCTAGGGAGCATACACAGAAAAGAAATGCATGTTTTGCTACTAAGAAGGATTCAGATTCAAATGGAAAAGAAAATGGTGCTTGCAATCTCATTTACACACCTATGAAAAATACATTCACAGAATATGGATTAACTCATGTTAATATGTGCAGCAACGGTAGCAGTAATGTAATAAGTTCTAAATGTCACCCACAACATCACACTACAACAAATATGTTCAGATGTCCCAAGAGTCAGGACGGTTTCACTGGTAACTTATGTCTTAATAAACAGAAGATGATTCACGAAGTAAAGAAATTGGCCTTCTCTCAATTTGGCAAACAGTCCTCTGATGATTTTGTTATGTGTTGGGAATCTAATGAAAGAGAAAAATTAATCAAATGTGATGACAGTAACAGTTTATACAATGATTCAGCTCCTCGTACACATCAACGATTTGAAAAAGGAGACAAGCCATATATATGTTCTGACTGTGGGAAATGTTATAGCAATCACCCAAATCTTCTGAAACATCAGAGAATTCACACAGGAGAAAAACTTTTTTCTTGCTCAGTATGTGGGCGATGTTTTACACATAAATTAAATCTTGATATACACGAGAGGGCTCACACGGGAGAGAAACCATTCTCTTGTTCTGTATGTGGGAAATGTTTTAATGCTAAATCAAATCTTGTTACTCATCAGAGGATACACACAGGAGAGAAACCTTTCAAATGTAATGTATGTGGGAAATGTTTTTCTAATAAGTCAAATTTAACCAAACACCTGAAGATTCACACAAGATAATATATCTAATATCTTGAATGAGTGATGTGATTTTGTTGTAAATTCTAATGAAATGTTATGAATGTCAGTACACCTCAGGAAGTCTGTAGAGCAAAGAACTAACACCAGAACTGATAAAGAAGGCAGTAACTGTGCTAATCTCTCCAGAGTGTTTGAAAACAATGTTATTATTTTGTACCTGAGCATTTAATAAATTGAGTAATTATGCAGATTGTTACTTGCTGCTTAATTCTTTAAGGACAAAAAGCAAAATATTTTTGCTTTAAATCAAATATTTTTTTTTTAAATTGTGATTTTCAAGAAGAAAGAAATATATAGCGAAAGTCAAAGCGTAGAAATTGAGAGAGATAAAAGGGCAGAGATAAAAACATGGGTTCTTTTTAATACACACATATGGATATTGTACACAAATACAGCCCTGTATTCACTCAGAGGCACTCTACATAAGTACGCAACTACATTCGCACACCCTGACACACTGGTCAAATACATCCCTATATTCACACACATTGAGACGTTGCATAAATGCACAATTACATACACTCGCATGGACACACTGCTTAAATACACTCTTTGATTCACAAACAACACTCCATACAAATGTATGCATTCATTTGAACACAGACTGCACATTAATACACACTGGCGTTCATACACCAACACTCCAATTCATTTACACAAATGCACACTCTGACATTTCAAATGCATTCATTGAGTGTAAACAAAAGTACACACCAACATTACATACGAATGCATCCCTGCATTCACACACACCTGATTCAAACATATTGCCATTACATATGCATACATTTTTACTGCATTAACATACATGAAGTAGATAAAACTACATCCTTTCATTTGCACACATTCTCACTACAGTCAAGTACATTTTTGCACTGACATGCATTGACACTCTACACAGATTAGCAAGTATTCATGCTGCCACTATGTAGCAAGAGTGAACTTTGCTGAATAATACAATTAATGCATATAATAATTCATTAGTTATCTCAGACAACAAGCTGTGGAAGAAGTTGGTCCCCCACCCTACACACAAACACACACACTTTTCTTGGGGCATGTTTACCAGCTGCAGTTTGCAATGCACCCTTTGTTCAATTACACATGGGACAGGACACTCAGTGTTGAGACAGAGAAGAGAAAAGGGTCTCCATTGCTCCATTTCTGTGAATGACTAGGAGAGCTCATGCAAAGCCAAATGATCCAATAAGTCATATCTAGTTAGTAAATGAGCATCAAAGCTAAGTGTCTGTACCAGTGTAACATTGTTTGTATTTGTCTACATTTGTCTTTGAGTAAACACTGTTATAAAATTACACTATGTGTGCGTTTACTCTTAGTGAACAGCTGAAGTACCTTTTTAAATACCAAAATGCATTGTGAGAGAGAAATCAATTTATGAATTCTCACATAAGTTATTTATTTTTTCAATGTAAATTTTGCTGCCTTTTTTATGTTAAATATTTTCATGCTAAACAAATTTTTTGTATTTATATTTTATCATATTTCATACACACTATATGCAGAAACGCACATGCTTTTACACCATAGTACACAAGTGGATTCACAGTGATTTCACACAGATACAAATATGCATACATAGACATAGTCGGGTACGTATGTTGTAGAAGTATTAATTGGTTGGTTGGGGATATATTACTGAGGTTAGGTGGTAGGCTGGACAGATTTTAAGGAGGTAACGTTCCATATGCATGCAGGCTACTAAATGCAATGCATGTTCATTACATGTGGTAGGCTGGGCAGGTGTTGTGGAGGTTAGGTGGTAGCTGGGAAAGTATTAGGGAGGACAGCTGGTAGGGTGAAGACAATTAGGGAGGTTTGGTGAACACCTAAAGTTTGGGATGGGGATGTTATGCTGAAAACAATGAGGTAAGTGCCAAATTCCTCAGGAACGTGGCTGATTCTTGATTATTCCACCAGCAAAGAGCAAGGTATTCATCATCAGTGGTACTTTCACTGTCTCCGGAATGTAAGAGTTGTAGAGTGTTTTTTCTTTTATTGCATTAATTATTCGTGTTGTGTCTGCTGGAGCTATGAATATTATAACATAGTAGAGAGCCTGGGGCCAAGGGAGATCTCGTTATATTCTACAGTCTATGATTCTGCCTTTAGACTGCTTAGATGTCATCAAAGATGATATGATACATAGAATTTATACGTTGGACTATGTCCTTAAGTATCCCCAAAATAGGGACTGACCTAAAGCTAAAACTGAATATCAGGCTGGGAAAATAAATAAAGCACTAAGGACCACTCTTGGATCCTTCTACTTTCCTGACTTTTAGACAATCAAACAACTAATGCTCAAAAACTATTTAACAAAATAATTTTGTTGGGGCAGAGAGGGCTTGCTGCTAGCTTCCCTACTGATTAATAGACAAAATTCAAGAAAACCAACCGATACGGCTAGTTTACAGCACAATCAGTCCTTTTATGGCCTGGCACCTGAAAGCCTGTCTGGGAAGAATATAAAGGTTGAATTTTAAAATCTCCCTTTCACTCTTTAAGTGGGGATCTGATCACCTATCTTAGGACATGTCTCTCTCATGTCCCTACATTTTCATTCTCACTATTTTTCAGTTTGTGGATTTGACATAATGTCATTAATTGTTATCCCATGCTTTGTATAACTTAAAATGTTAAACATTTGCCAAGTTTATACTGGATTTGCCAACATTTCTATACTGTATAAATGCTTTTGGACCTAGACTATAAATAATAAATTAAAAAACAAAACCACTACTAAGGAGCTGCCAAAATTAGGTACATTAGTGCTGTGGCAGGCTTATGCAATGCATCATCATTAAATTATAATGTTTATTATTTGTAGCTTTATTATGTAACTTTTGATTCCAACACTGCCGAATGCCCAATATTGTAATTGAGGAGGTGTTTGGGTTCACAAACGCACACAGAACTGCACTTGGGGACAAACACTATTACGCCACCAGGCACACCCCATCATAACATCCACACTTCGAATGTGGGCACATGTGAGGAACCACTAACATATATCCCCATACCCATCACCCCTTTATCCACTCACCCAAAACCCGCTATTCTCACCAGGAGAACACGATAAATCAAATAAACTTTACCATGACTCCCCCTACCTGACATTGGGAACCTTGGTAGATGGGTCTAGAGTAAAACCACTTCAAACTTTAATCTCAGTAGATAATGCCTCAGCACTACAAAAATTCCAGTATAATCAACTCCTACATTTTATTAAAACGGGGTCGCTGGCACAGGGCACACACCGAGACCACACAATCTTTGAACAACACTGTGAAACACAAACCATAAAAAAGAAACTTATTTCTTTAATGTACACACTACTCTATCTACGCAACCCAAAAACTTACCTACATTCACCGGGACATGGGAAACAGAACTGGGCATAGTTATATCACCCGACAGATGACGCACGATATTCAGAAATATACATAAATATTCCCGAAACAGTGGCACAGGAGAGCAACTACAAACGCATAGTTAGATGGCACTATACACCTGCGAGACTCCAATCGCTGTTCCCCCAAACGTCCAACCACTGTTGGAGATGCCAACAGCTCAATGGCACGACTTCTCATATCTGGTGGACCTGTCAGGAGATACAAACATTTTGGAAGCGCCTCTCCAGCGTGATCCAAACCATCATAGGAGAAACTGTTGCCCTTAACCCTGACACCTTCATTTTCCTCCTACCGCCCCACACAGTGCCCAAGGACAAGATACCTCTACCCCTACATCTCATCACAGCTGCCAATCAACTGATCCCACTGTTC